CGTCTGTTTGTCTTTTTCATGGACTCGTTCTTCTTCCTTGCGGGATCTCAGGCAAGATGACCATACCCTCGAAATCACTTATATCTTTGCTTGCTAGTTGCTCGCTCTTTTGCTATGCCTATGATGCGATTCCTACCACTTGCTTTTTCATGACTCCCATATTGTTAAGCTAAGACTCTAACCCACCTTGTCCTAGCAAACCGTTGTTTGGCTACGTTACCGCTTTGCTCAGCCCCTCTTATAGCGTTGTTAGTTGCAGGTGAAGATTGGAGCTTGTTCCATGTTTGGAACATGGATATTTTGTTGGGATATCACAATATATCTTATTTAATTAATGAATCTATATACTTGGTAAAGGGTGGAAGGCTCGACCTTATGCCTGGTGTTTTGTTCCACTCTTGCCGCCCTAGTTTCCGTCATATCGGTGTTATGTTCCCGGATTTTGCGTTCTTTACACGGTTGGGTTATAATGGGAACCCCTTGATAGTTCGCTTTGAATAAAACTCCTCCAGCAAGGCCCAACCTTGGTTTTACCATTCGCCACCTAGCCTCTTTTTCCCTTGGGTTAGGCCAGCCCAAGGGTCATCTTTATTTTAACCCCCCAGGCCAGTGCTTGTCTAAGTGTTGGTCCAAACTAGAGCCCCTTGCAGCGCCACCTCGGGGAAACTCGAGGGCTGGTTTTAGTTGTACGGATTGCTTATCCGGTGTGCCCTGAGAACGAGATATGTGCAGCTCCTATCGGGATGTCGGCGCATCAAGCGGTCTTGCTGGACTTGTTTTACCATTGTCGAGGATGTCTTGTAACCGGGATTCCGAGCCTGATCGGATTGTCTTGGGAGAAGGAATATCCTTCGTTGACCGTGAGAGCTTGTGATGGGCTAAGTTGGGACACCCCTGCAGGGATTTGAACTTTCGAAAGTCGTGCCCGCGGTTATGGCAGATGGGAATTTGTTAATGTCTGGTTGTAGAAAACCTGAAGTTTATCTTAATTAAAATACATCAACCGCATGTGTAACCGTGATGGTCTCTTCTCGACGGAGTCCGGGAAGTGAACACGGTGTTGGAGTTATGTTTGATGTAGGTTGTTCTAGGATCACTTCTTGATCATAGTTCATCGATTGTTCTTTGCCCTCTCTTCTCGCTCTCATTTGTGTATGTTAGCCACCATATATGCTAGTCGCTTGCTGCAGCTCCACCTCATACCTTTTACCTTACCCATAAGCTTAAATAGTTTTGATCGCGAGGGTGTGAGATTGCTGAGTCCCCGTGACTCACAGATACTTCCAAAACCAGCTTGCGGGTGCCGAGGATACCGTGCAGATGACGCAACCAAGCTCAAAGAGGAGCTCTATGAAGATCGTGTCCTTTGTGTTGTTTTCGTTCTAGTCGATCAGTAGTGGAGCCCAGTTGGGTTGATCGGGGATCTGTGTAGCTTTTGGGGTAGTCTTCTTTTATTTTGGTTCCGTAGTCGGACCTTGATTGTATCTGAATGATGTAATGCTTTATTCATGTAATTGTGTGAAGTGGTGATTGTAAGCCAACTATGTATCCCTTTCCCCTTTATTTATGTACATGGGTTGTTTGCGAAGATTACCTCACTTGCGACATTGCTTTCAATGCGGTTATGCCTCTAGGTCATGCTTCGACACGTGGGAGATATAGCCGCATCGAGGGCATTACAATCTATGTCTTCAAACCTTTTTGGTCCTTAATGACAAAAGGGGGAGAAGCATATGAGTTGATAGTCTTCAAGCGGGTCCATATGGGTGGTTGCTATATTTTTTTCCTAAGTGGTTACAACTCTCGTTTTTGATACATTTGGTTCTTTGGGTTGTAACACTTAAACTTGATGGTCGTCTGCTACCTTGTCTACCACTTTGTGATGCGATGATAAATTCCGCATGAAGTCATTCCGCAGACGTCCATTTTTCATTATGCATGTCATTATCTTCGTTATATCTTTATATGCATAATGAATTGTCTCCATCAGTTGAAGAGGATCTCCACAATTAAAACCTGCCATGTGCATTTGCATTCAAGAGCAAACTACTTGTATGCACATCTTCAGGGGGAGCCTTTTGCTACTTATGAAGACAATACATTTACCCTTAGAATTTCACATACTTTTATCTCCGTTGAAAACTTCAACCAGTTTGTCATCAATCACCAAAAAGGGGAAGATTGTAAGTGCATCTAGTGCCACCCCTAGTTGGTTTTGGAGTATTGACGAGAAACTTGGTTGAGGGACTAATGTGTTTGTGAGAATTGCAGGATAACACAGGTAGTAGTCCCTCATTGATTCGGTTTACCTAACAGAGATGACCCCTAAAAATGTGTGAAGACATTGAAGACAATGGTGGTCTGTGAAGAGATTCACATTGAAGACTATGACATGAGAAGACATAGCATGAAGACTATGGATTGCGAAGACATAGTTGTTTCGTAGTTTCCTTTTCTTCTTTGTTGAGTCATATGAACCACCGTACTGTTAAGTGGGGTCCAAGTGAAGAAAGTCAGAGTGACTGAAGTGATGCTCAACCAAACCCTATGTCTTCGAGCGAAGACAATGAGAGCAAATCTTATCAAGAGCTGGATAAGTCCGTTTTACTTGTAGCCCAAGTCAAGCTATCGCATGTGTTTGAAATCTGACTGTTAGACATGTGCCAGTTCCTTAGTGACCTAGGGTCATTTCGGACAAATCAGGTCGGGTTGCCTCCTGGCTATAAATAGCCCACCCCCTACACCATAAATTGGTGGCTACTCAGAGTTAGTGCACGGCTTTTGCCGTTTGAGAGCAACCCACCTCCGAAGCTTTTGAGAGAGAAATCCTTGCGAGGACAAAACCCTAAACACCCAGAGCCAAAGAGTGTTAGGCATCACTGAAGTCTTTCTGTCTGCGTGATCTGAAGACTTGTTACACTTGAGGACTGTGAATCCTCCAGCCGGTTAGGTGTCGCGTTCTGAGCATCCAAGAGTCACTGTGGATCGCCGGTGAACAAAGTCTGTGAAGGTTGGGAAGTCTACCTTCAAGACTGGCGAGGACTGTGTGTCCTTAGCTCAAGGGGAATAAGGTGAAGGCGAGGTCTTCTGAGTTGAATCTCAGCCTCCCTAACCAAACATATAGTTGTCACAGCAAGTGGAACTGGTCCAACAAATCCCTGTCCTCACCAAGCAACTGGTTATATCCTTTACCTCTCTTTACTTACAGTTTGTCTTCGTGAAGTCATTGCCTGCTTGCATGATCTGATTGACTTCGTTGTGTCAAGATTGTTGTTGTTTGGCTTCATACTATCTTCCATTCTGATCCATACTACCTAGCTGCTAATAGTCTTCGTGCTTGCACTTCATTGCTTACTTGACTATGGCTTGTCTAGTGTAGGCTACCTTCCGCTGAATATCAATAGGTTCATTTCTACTGTTTGTCTTCAAAGCCCCCGTGTATTGAAGACGTTCATAAAAATCGCCTATTCACCCCCCTCCCCTCTAGTCGATAACTAGCACTTTCCACAACCATCAGTCGACGATTAGTATTTTCCTTTGCCTTCTTTCGCTTTGCCTTCTGACGCTTTTCTGCAACAACCCTTTTCTTTTCTGCTTCAGCTTCAGGTTGGGCCGGAGAAGACAAATAGATTGGAAATCATACATAGCTACTTAATTATACAACAAAGAAACTTAAAGATTCAATACTATTCAGTGAACAATCTGATCATAAACTCAAAATTCATCAGATGCCAACAAATACACCATAGAATTGCATCGGATTGATCCCAATCATAAAAGGAAGAAGGGGAACATGGCATTGAAGATCCCGAGAGAGAGAGAGAGAGAGAGAGAGAGAGAGATCTAGCTACTACTATTGACTCGTAGGTCCCAAAGGAACTACTCACACATGGTCATGGAGGCAGCAAGGTTGATGAAGAGCCCTCCGGCAATGTCTTCTCCCTCCGACAGAACTTCGAAACAGGGCTCCAGATGGGATCTCTTCGTAACAGAGGCTTCAGCGACAATCAAATTCTTCTGGAGAAATGACGAATGGTTTCAATATTTATAGAAATTTATGGGGGTGGAATCAGGTCAAGGCGGTGCCCATGGGCCCCACATGGACAGGTGGTGCGGCCACCCCTAGTCACGCCACGTGTCCATGTGGCTAGCTCGTGGCCCCTCTTGATGTCTCCCGAAGCTTCTAGTGTTTCTTGTTGCCCAAAAAAATCGTGTTAAATCGACAACATATTTTGACCTCCTAGATATTGGTTTCTCAAACAAAAAAATAAGCAAAAAACAAGAACCGGAACCGGCACTCTATTAATAGGTTGGTCCATAAAAATAATATAAATTGCTATAAAAAGTATATAAAATGATAATATAGTAACATTAAACAATCAAAAACAGAGATACATTTAAGACGTATCAACGACGCAGTTAAAAAAACGTCCACAATAACAACACTAATAAGTTATAAAATTAATTGGTAAATTAGAAATAAACGTCCACAATATAACAACACTAATAAGTTATAAGATTAATTGGTAAATTAGGAATTTCTTTTAGCGCTCGAGATAGCATCCGCCTTCAGTCAAACCGACTTGTGCGGGAAAAATAATTAGCCAAGTCATCGGGCGACAGATAATAATAGTATTCCTCCATAAGATTTACATTATGTCACTGATTAGCAAAATGTGAAGAATCATACAAACAAGATAACAACAGTTTCTCTCAAAAGAAAGGAGAAAAGGATGAAAGCTTCAGTTACACATACTTAATAGGGTACATACATAATCGATTGTGGAAGGGATCCTTGGCGTCCGATATGAACCAAGACTGCAACAATTAGGATACCATGACTGCCACCAAAAAACGGCTGCTAGTTCTATTACTGTTAGTGTTTTATATCGTTTCCAACCCCCTGGGTTAAGTATGGGCCTCCAAAAGCACGCCCAAGACGCAGCTACCCATCCATCAATGATAAACAAGGGCCCGGTATACTTTTCAAAGTCTACGGATTAGGATGAGCAGCATCCAGCCTTCTTTACGGCAGAGACATCGTCTTTGGACCCTACGTTGATGGTCTGCCCTCGTGGTGGAGCGGCAGGGTCGTCGCCGATGTCAAGAGCTTTCTTGCTGACCACTCGGTAGATCTGGGTTAACACCTCAGTGAAAGCGTCCTCTACATTCATGGACTCCAGGGCAGAGGTTTCCATGAAAAAGGTGTATTCCCTCTCCGCAAATGCCTTGGCATCCTCCACAGAGACAGCCCGCAAGTGGCGCAGGTCAGCCTTGTTGCCGACTAGCATGATCACAATGTTAGCATCGGTATGGTCCTTGAGCTCCTTCAGCCACCTCTCCACATTCTCGAAGGTCACATGGCGTGTCACATCATACACAACAAGCGCACCGACAGCTCCTCTGTAATATGCGCTTGTAATTGCACGATATCTGCAAAGGGATTGCAAAAGTTATGTGTTATGCAATTGAAATATTAGCAATGTTGCAACCAGATTACAAAGAACTTCACAATTTGTAGTTGGACTTTCATAAGGAAAAAAAACTGTTCTTTATAAAAAACATTACTTTTATATGAGTGGATAGGATGATACAGTGACTTCAGCACATAATGCCTTAACAATAACAATTACAATACAACAGTTGAGATATAGCCAATGCTTCAAAGGGTGAAAAGGCAATATAAATAATCACAACAATCCATATAAAAAGGTTAAAATCCATTATGTCCATTTTCTACTCGAGGATGAAATGCCAACTCCCCAAATTAGCACTTGATTGAGGGCCTGTCTGGGACTGCTCCACTTCAGAAAAATCAGTTTTACTCCACCAAATCTACTTTGGAGCAGTTTCATACAGAAGTTGTAGCACTATCAAAGAGAATGTTTGGCTTCCATCTAGCTCCAGCTTCAAGAATGAGAAATTTGGTGGAAAGGATCTATTTGATTGGATGAGGGGGAAGAAATGAAGGGGTATCCACTTATTGGTGGCGGTGGTGGGTAATTTCCCCCCAACTCCAGCTTCTAGAGTTTTTTGGAGCACCCCTTGAAGAGCTTCATAAAAAACTGAGATGTACCCCAGATTCTAGTTTTTTTTGCAGAGCGGCATATCGTGGAGCTACCCCGTTTGGTTTGTGTTTTCTGGAGCGAAGCTGAATTTTAAGGAGCAAAGCAGTCCCAAACAGGCTCATATTATGGATGCAAAATCAGAGTTCAGACAAGTCTAACAGAAACAAGAATCAGCTTGCAGATACATATAACATATGGCCATAAAGGCTTGGATATCAATATTGCTCCAAAGAGACAACTAAGGATTATAAGCTATTAAGTTGAGGCAGTAGAATGCATTGACATATACTTCCTCCGTCCCAAAATAAGTGACTCAAAAGTGACTCAACTTTGTACTAATGTTAGTTCAATGTTGAGTCATTTTTGAGTCACTTATTTTGGGACCGAGGGAGTATGTTTCAAGAGACAAGCTAACATCGTTACTCACTTCAGTTCAAGGCAAAAAATAATTAGTATTAGTGCCAAGGAATTTTCGTCGGGTCTTAATAGCATGCTAGAACTAGTACGTGTGATTTGTTGTCAAGAAGTCGTCAGGATACCCGTAGATCTAGAACACAGGTAAAGGGGGACATACGATTTACACAGGTTCAGACCCACAAGGTGGGTAAAAACCTTACTTCATGTCTTGCTCTTTTCTTATATATGAAGAATATCGAGGATTAAAATATCACGGTGTACCCGGCGAGTTAGGGAAACTCGGCAAGCTGTTGGTGATTTTGGCAGGAAGAGCCTGATATCTTCTATGTGGTGCCTAGGCATTAGGTGGAAAAGGAGTGGATCCCCTTCTACATTGCCTCTGTTGCCCTTATATAGCGGTATGGATGGCTTCATGTCGGTGCGTACGGCGTATAGGGGCACGAGTTGCACTGGTGTTGGTTTACAACACATATAGCCTTCCCTACGTCGTAGAGAGCTTTCCTTGATGTTGTGTCCTTGGATGAAAAGTCTCTTCCGTGGTGGGTGGCGCTTCTCTTTGGTATGATAACTTGTCTGTAGATTTAGTGGGTCCCGTTGATACGGTGTTAGGTAATTCCACTTATCATCGGCAAGCCCCCCATCAGTATTCGTAATGGAGCTGGATCCATGAGCAAGGTTGACATAGATACTCGCAGTCTTCAGCGGATGCTGCTACTTCCTTTGTCGCAGATGTTGCCTCTTGCTCGTTGGGGATGCAGAGTTGATCTTGGTCCTTGTCCTGTGCTTGACTCTTCATGTTCTTCAACGGCTGAGAATTCCTAAGTGTCCACCTGTTGCAGGGACGTGCTTTGGCGTGCCGGACCAGCGATAACTACGTGTGTTGATGTAATGTGGCCTCGGACTGAGACAGAATTGATTTGATAATTCGCTTCCGCTTCCCTCGGGGCCCGATACGGCACAATACTGCCTTTGACTCATTGGTTTTCACGTTGAATTAATACGGTCCTGGAAAAAAAATCCCCTGCTTTAGATTGCGATCTAGGAGTATATTTGCCCTTTTATCCTCTACCCGGCAGCATTATCGTTGCATGTTCTTCTTTCTTTCTCTTGTTCTTCCTGACCTCTATGACGCGACGTGTGGGTGTTAGCTCTCTTGCTCGCGGTGTCGGGTTCTCTTCCAACTCGTGCGGGATGGTGTGGCCCTCTCCTTCCATTACCATGTTTCGTCCATTGAGCAGATGTGCTAGCTTGGTTGTCTCCCCAGTGACGTTAGTTTCCAAGCGCCTTGCTCGGTCAATGTTCCCTTGGTCGGGTGAAACAGTGGTGATTGCGGATGCTTCTTGTTACGGGATTGCCTTCCTCTTCCCTCCTTCGTGAGGCAGTTGCTTGATCTCTTACCGCATCACCCTGATCCATATCTCCCCTTGTTCTTTTCTTACTTTAAACATCTTCGCTGACTTATGCAAGACCTATGTCGGTATTGGGCCCAATCTCTCCTTCCAATACTTCTACTATCTAGGTAGAATAGATCATCCTTCCCATTCAAGGCATGGATGTTCTTTTCATCCTCGCTTAGATCGTGTCTTTCTTCCTATCTCTGGGAGGTCTCCATCCTAGGCTTTCCCTCAATATGGATTAACTGCGAGAAAGGGATCTCATGATCCTTCGTTTATTAATTATCTGCTAAAGCTCACTCCTTTCTAGAGATCGGACATTGTCCAAGATAACGAGGTGATGAGCCTTCTTATTGCTTTTCAAGAGTTTGAGGCTCATGGTCTTACCGGTGTCCACGTCATTGAGGATTTTACTCAGCGTCGCCTTCACCCTCCCAATCTTAAGCTCAAATTTCAGCCTTCCTGGTACTTTGTCACTGGTGAATACTAAAGACTCTAGGCCCGTAATGGTTTCTTTTTTCAAAAAAAGTTCCTATTTCTCGTCGAAGAAATGTGTCAAATGGATCATTAAACTCTCCAATGTGTAGATGAAGAGGTTATGGGAGATGATCTTTGACAATTCATCGTCAGACGAGGAAGAGGATGATGAATTTGAGTCGGTGGCTGCAGCGGTGTCTATGGAGGATTTCAGGAGACCGAGGCATGGTTCTCAGATTGGTCGAAGGATGTTTCTTCAAGATAGGATAGTGGGTCATGATGGTCTAGTGAGGGATTATTTTGTCGAATGCGGTATATGCCCCTCACTATTTTTGGCGCCGATTCCGCATGCACCGAGATCTCTTCAACACCATTGCAAGAGTTGTGGAGAAACATGATCCTTGGTTTCAACCAAGACGGAATGCAGCGGGAGCAGCAAGTGCAAGTCCATTGTTGAAGATTACAGCAACCGTGTGAGTCCTTGCTTAAGGATGTTCGGTTGATGTCATCGATGACTATGTTCACATTGAGATCTCATCCTGGCCAGGGATGCTTAGATCAATTGACTATATGCATTGGACATGGAAGAATTGTATGGTCACATGGCAAGATCCAACCATCGTTCTTGAGGCAATTGCATCACATGATCTCTGGATTTGGCACACATACTTCAGGATGTCTGGCTCTCACAATGGTCTCAATGTCTGGCAGCGATCTCTTTTTGCAAGGCTTGTTGTCGGTGACAATCCACCTTGCAACTATGTTGTCAATGACCATGAGTAAAACATGGGATACTACCTTGCCTATGCCATATATCCTCCATGGGCCATCCACCGCCCTAAAGGCAACAAGAGATCTCACTTTGCAACGTGCCAAGAATCTGCTAGAAAGGACGTTGAGAGAGTTTTTGGTGTGCTTCAAAGACGTCTTGCCATTGTCCATGGCCCTACTGAGTATTGGAAGCTTGAGACCATGTGGAGATCATGGCAACATGTGTTATGTTGCACAATATGATCATCGAGGATGAGAGAGAGAGGACCCGGAGGACTTTCGTATCTCTACAATGGTGTCCCGATGGAGCCGAAACATAACCTAAACAAGATCGAACCATTCCTCCAAACACACCGTGAGATCGAGAGGCGAGAAGCTCACAACAAACTTCCAAAACATTTTATTGAGTGTTAGAGATATGTTTGGTAGTTAGAGATTGTCCGGGATTAGATAGGAATTGTTTCCATCTTATCTCTAGGAGGCATCTTCCCTCCGAGTTTTGTACCCAGTATATACTCGCCCTCGAGGCTCAATAATATCATCCAACGCATTACATCGATTCCACCAATCCATCTCTATCCCTTCTAACATAGTATAAGCCTAATCTCAACCCAAAACCCTAGCCGTCGTCGCTTCCGCACCGCGCCACCCTCGGAGCGACCGGTCTCCATGATCGCCGCCAGGGCCGCGCCGCCCATACCTAGGGTTCGTGTGCCGGTCATGTAGATCGGCTGCCCTAGAGAGTCTTTTTCCCGATCCTTGATCCTTGATCCGGGTTTTTCTCTCTCACGCCGGTCATCTTGATTAGCGCTTCTTTTTTGGTTTTCTGATCTAAGATCGGTTTGCGTCGCTCACCGCCATTCGTCATCTACAATGCATGTCTACTTCATCAACTCCGACGGAATCGGCTGCCACACCACGCCTGTGGCCTTACGCACGCGTCAAGTTCGCTGGTATGGCCGTCGATCCTACGCTGACCTATCGTGCTGGTCGTGTCACATGCAACCACTCACACGCCCTATGCGGCGCGAGGTTAGCTACAGGCGCATCCGCTGGCCCATTGATGCACGTCTCGTGGCCTTTGTGCAGGTTGTGTTCACATTGGCCGCTCATGCTTCTTGGCTAGCTATTCGTGCACTTTGGCTTATGCAGGTGAAGGCTGTTCCCGTGCGTCTGCATCCAGATCAGCCTTCGTGTACATATCATCGTCATCAAGTACGCATTCCTCTCCGTTGAGTGAGCAACGGACTGCAACTGTGTCGTCCCTTCGGACCGCAGCATCATCATTTCATGGTTCTCCCACGGCTCCATCGGCCCGCGCGTTGCCGCTGTGTCGCCCCGAGGCCATCCGCTCCAGGCCGTCCCCGTGGCTCCACCGACCCTCGCGTTGCTGCTGCGTCGCCCCATCGGATCGTAGCGAGTGTGGCACGCGGTCCCTGTCGCTGCCCCATGGTTCTCCCCACGGCAGCACCAACCCGAGCGCTACTGCTGCGTCGCCCCTTCGGGCCGTAGTGCCGTGGCCCACGGTCTACTTCGCCGCCCCGAGGCCGCCGCACAAAGCCGTCCCCGTGGCACCACCGACCCTCGCGATGTCGATGTGTCGCCCCATCGGGCCGTAGCGAGCGTGGCACGCGGTCCCTGCTGCCGCCCTCAGGTCCTCCCCGCCGTCGCCCGACTCGCGCGCTGCCACTGCGTCGCCCCTTTGGGCCGTAGCGCCGGTATGCGCCGCACCGCTTGCTACGTGCGGGAACGCCACTGTCAACACCAGTCTTCGGCACGCTGTCCGGTTCTTCCTCGCCTACATTGAGCACCACGGCCGCGCTCCTAACCAAGCCGCCGCCGCCGCGCTTCTTCCCGGTTCACGGCGACTACCTCGACACCGGCCACCCCGACTCGGCATCGACCACGACGTCCCTCACACGGCTACCTCGACCATGACTACACCACCCTACGCTCTCGGCTCCATCGACATCGGCACAAAGGGCTATCACCTCGCTTGAGCAACTCGTCGGCTTCCTCTACAGTCAACACATCCGCAACGCGACACCGTCCACGACGCTCCCGCTACGACTACGGGGGGATGTCAGCCAGTCGGCTGCTATTCTCTCCAGTCTGAACGTCCACGACCCTCCTGTTGTTCGCAACGCTACCGCTACGACTGCGGGGGGATGTTAGAGATATATTTGGTAATTAGAGATTGTCCGGGATTAGATAGGAATTGTTTCCATCTTATCTCTAGGAAGCGTCTTGCCCTCCAAGTCTTGTACCGAATATATACTCGCCCTCGAGGCTCAATAATATCATCCAACGCATTTCATCAATTCCACCAATCCATCTCTATCCCTTCTAACATTGAGCACCATTGGCGACTTCATAGCACTTGATTCTTGTGTTTTTATCATGTTTATTTGAATTCTTAGTTCATTTGGACCATCTGTTGTGTTAGAATTTGGATGGTTAAGTTTGAGAATATAAAATTTGATGTGTATTTGACTTCTGAGGTATATAATTAATATGTTGTGATCAGTTTGGAAACGGTTGGATGAATTGGCAAAAGAAATTTTTGAAGGGATTAAGTTCTAGGCAATCTGCTCGATGAAGAAAAGTTTATTATCCCCTTAAAATCATAAATTTTGGGGATAGGAGATACGTTTTGGTATTATAGGTCAGGGGGGTCTGCTAGAGATGCTCTAACCCAATCACCGTATAAAGTTGAACACAAGCCTGTTGCGGGCAAGCAGTAGCCTGGGGAATTAAAAAATCGAAGCAAAATGCAAATGATTCAACATAATCACGATAAGAGAAGAGAGGAACCTACCTCTCTTGGCCAGCCGTATCCCAGATCTGCGCCTTGACGACCTTATCGTCGACCCTAATGCTCCTGGTGGCGAACTCGACCCCGATTGTGGACTTTGACTCCAGGCTGAACTCGTTGCGCGTGAACCGGGTGAGGAGGTTGGATTTCCCGACGCCCGAGTCGCCGATGAGCACCACCTTGAAGAGGTAGTCGTAGTCGTCGTCCGCCCGGTACGCCATTCTTTGGTTTCGCCGCGGTGGTCACGTGTAGGCCACGCCCTCGTACGTTCGTCCTCCTCTTCGTCCTCGCAGAATCGGTCAAGCCACCCGCTCTTCCCGCGGATGGCAGCTCGGAGGTGGCTTCTGGGGCCGTCGGCGGCGGCGCGCGCTTATCGGAGTTACAGCAACGGGATGGGGTGGTGGGAGGAGGAGGAGACGCCCCGGAGAACGTTCTTGGAATGGCAAGGGGCAGGAAGGACTGCTCGGACGAGCGAGAGAACGAGCGTTGCTGCCACGTCATCACGTGTGGAGCTTCACAAGGCGGACGCAGCTGGACGGCACGGCGGGGCTTGCATGCTCCGCGGATCACAATTTTTCTATAAATGTAGGTAACTGCCCGTGCAACGCAGCATTATACCTGTTCTAATAGTTCAACGTCAAGATCAATTTTCTTTTGTCTTCTTCGTCACTATGTTCTTTCTTTTTTCTTGCGAAATAACACTTGTATTACTCAAGAAGTTTAAGGATTACAATCTCATCAAACAATATTCAGAACTTCCTCTGGACCAGAGCTCAGCTAGACAGTAGTCCGGCCTTCATCACTATCTTCATTTCTCCGCCTCCCCAATTGAAGCCCGCCACCTCTATCAACAATGCATCCGGCTCACAATCCCTCCCTCCACCCCTACTCAAACCTACGCTTAAATTTCTAGGAAGGATAATGTCTCATATTTGGTCTCTATCATGGCATCCAATCAACTCATCTCCCCGGCGTATTAGCAAGAAATTATAGTGCATTATATTTGCCACCACAATAGATGAAAATAATGTCATGGAAATTGATCAATCACATTCACATGACAAATCGATCAATCACATAACAAACCATATACATTTAACTTCTCATTTTATTATATTAGTTCACTCACGGTAGGAGGTATTCGACGTTGTGAGAACCAATGACAAGGACCTTTATCCCTTATATTAACTAAGATCTACTCCACCAGCGCTTAAGATATTCAAATACAACGCCATGACATGGCCTTCAGCTTCAGTTAATTGTCATAGTCTTTTAGCATACCTTATCCAAAATTATTATTCAATGGAATCATATTTCATAATATTATGCAATGAAACAATGAAAATATTTTACTAAACAAACTGAACAAAGATTGTTAAAATTACTTTCATGAACCAAATAAATGCATACCCATATTACAGTACAAGGAATTTCTGAATTAAACATTTTTTTACAGATTTACGAGTACACTAAAAGTTCTCCCTGGTCACAAAGTCGTCGTACGTACCAACCAAGTTCCTCCACTTTCGGACTCGCTGCCGATAATGCAAAGGGTATCCTTATGTTCATATTTCATAAACATAATTACGTAGAGGTCATGTTTAGCTTCTTCAAATGATTGCATTAATTAGAACGAGATTGTTTGAAGAAATGTCTAAGTATGGATTTAACCATGCTATGAATGAATTAAATTTCTCTCTCTAATACGCATGAATCATACATACATATGGTTCCCAGTTAAAAAACACACAAAAAAGCTTTTCTTGTTACCGGAGGTGAATCCTTGTTTCCTGCTGATTGCCACCCCAGAGGAGTTCCATACAATTGCAGGGAAACAACTTGAGATTCTTGACTAAAACTTACGATCTAGTTGTGGTTTAGATCTACCAAGAGTTTATATGGCACATTCCCTACTGCAGAAAATACAAAGCATCTTGATTAATTTTCTTTTTTTGCGAGGGGATTAATTTTCTATTGATCGTGGCGCAATGCAACAATTCCATAGAGTCCCAGTGTTAGGAGGGAGATCGAGGGCAGTCAGGGAGAAGATTTCTACTGCATGCCGGAGCTGCACGATTTCCCAGTCTGTGTCCGCGTGAGATCCTAGTAGATATTGATACGTCTCCAATGTATCTATAATTTTTGATTGTTCCATGCTATATTATATTCGGTTTTGGATATTATTGGGCTTTATTATACACTTTTATATTATTTTTGGGACTAACCTATTAACCGGAGGCCCAGCCCAGAATTATTTTTTTTTTGCCTATTTCAGAGTTTCGCAGAAAAAGAATATCAAACAGAGTCCAAACGGAATGAAACCTTCGGGAACGTGATTTTCGGAACGAACATGATCCAGAGGACTTGGACCCTATGTCAAGAAAGCAACCAGGAAGGCACGAG